CCACGAGTAACCAATTATTTTAAACAATTTCTTAAGGTCAAAAAAATTATATCTTTATACCCGTTTCAGGGATTTTTCCATAAACCGCTAATAATGATTTTATCGCCTATATCTGCTACTTTACGGACTCACTGTATACAGAATGGTCCGTTACTAATGGGACACGGAGCAACAGTGAATTCCTTACAGTAAATTGTTACGATTTAACCCAATTTATGTGAAAGATACAGATGGTTAAAGTTAATACTTTATTTTCGTTTTTGTTTAATAATTTCGTTTTCTCCTACATTACACAGCTCTACAACAAAAAATTTTTTTTTGTTACCCTGGATATCTTTGCAAATTTTTATGTTTTCAAGTGCCCAGATTACGAAATATTCATGAAAGTACCGAATGTGCTCTAGTTTTTTTAATTTTTACATATCTTTTCATATATATTTTGAACAATTATCGGCTTGTTAGTAATAAAATGTATTTTCCCAGTCATGATTAGGCTTCTGCGCAACTTTTTCGCGCATACAAACATCACGTGATCCCCACTCTCAGACCCCTTGCTCCGCAGAACAGCTGAGATCTCAGTTATTTGACAATATTGAAGTACTTACACGTGAATCTGGATACGTTGTCATGTGTTAATATTTTGTTTCAATTACTGAATCCATTCTAATATATTTGTCTTGACTTTTAAAACATGAGTTCGTCACGAAGAAAGTGTAAATATAGTAGTGATTTATTTTGTTATATTTGCGGTGTTTATATAACAAAAAAACAAAAAAGAAATATCACAGACTTTGTCGAGGAGACTTATGTTGAATATTTCGGTTTTCAAATGGACAATCTAGATAAATCATGGGTTCCTCATAAAGTTTGTAAGTCCTGTGTTGAGTCTTTACGGTTGTGGAAAAAAGGAGAACGTTCCGATTAGACTGGTTAGCCTAAGAATTATTTCGATGGTCGTTACTTTTGCGTAGTAGATGCTAAAGGTTTTAATCGAAATCAAACGTGGTGATATCCAGACTTACAGTCTACAAAATGTCCTGTTCTACAGAGTGAAAATCTCCCCCGGCCTATTTACGTTTCAAAGGTAATTCGCATGACCACAGAAACAATGATGTTGCCAAATTCACAGAAATCAGGACAGTCTACGACTGGAAGTGAATGGGAGGGTGAAACATCTATTATCTTATTAAAGAAAAGCGAAAATAAAGCATTAAATTTAACAATCTGTATCTTCCTTATTATTAACAATTGGACTAAGATAAATTTGATTAAATCGTAATAATTTTAAAATTTAACCCAATTTATCTTAGTCCAATTTTAAATAAAAACTTTTTCACCGTCAACTAATGTTTGGTAATTTGGTAAGTATACCAAATTTATGTAAAACAGTCTGAGAAACTATTTCAAGTTGTGTGAGTTGTAAAAATTTTAAGGATGGAAAAGATGTGACTAATACCAAATTATTATTTATCGTCTCAAAAAATGATAATGTACTAATTTTCAAGTTCATAATTTGAACAGAAGCGAAATTATTAAAGAAAAACGAAAATAAAGTATTAACTTTACATATCTGTATCTTCGTTATTATTAACAATTGGACTAATTGTAAGATAAATTGGGTTAAATCGTAATAATTTAATGTAAGGAATTCAGTGTTGCTCTGTGTCCCATTAGTAACGGACCCACCTGTATATACTGACGAAGAAAAAAGTCTTGAAGGACTTGCAATGACCATTAACACGTTCTCTGCCGAGCGACACCGTTAACCAACGTTGACATACGAGTTAATTCGTAGTCTGCAGCGAACGTGTTAAGAAGGCAGTACTGCAAGAACCCTTGGTGTTAGTGACGGAACGGTGAAAACAGTAAGTTACGAATACATAAGTAAAGGCATTGTAGAAAATCCAGTATTGGCAGGAAGAACATAGAATATAATGAAGAACTGTTAGGAGATTATTACCTTGCGAAGAGATATCCGACAGCCCGAGAAATGTAGGTAGACCTTAAAAACGATGTACCAAGTCTTCCTCTGCTTTCTTTAAGAATTTTGTACCGTTGGTTAAGACACCTTCATTTTGTTTATAAAAAAGGAAACAATAAACCGATTTTAATGGAACACCCGAATATTGCTGCATACAAGGCAGATTTTTAAACTCTTTGCTAACTTATAGAAACAGCATGGGAAATCTTTAAAATAGACGAAACTTGGTGTGGGCCAAATCATTGATGAAGTTTTGGATGAGTGGAAAGAGTAACTTCTGAAAATATAGACAGTTTTGAAGAGTATTGTGGTGGTGTTCATGAGGTTAATAGCAATAATGGCGGTTTTCAAAGTTCTGCGAAATCTCTTTAAGATGCCATTACTTTGAGGATGGTAACAAAGTGTGAATTTGTTTTGAGCCAAACAATCGATTAAATTCTGCATAAAGTTGCGATTCAAACTGTCTGCCCTGATCGTGCGTAATCGTGTGTGATATACCAAACCTTGAAAAGTAATGCGTCAACGAGCAGTCGCAACAGTAGAACTTGACGTATGTATTTTTGAGAGGATAAACTTCTGGCCACCTTGTAAAACGGTCAATGACTGTAAGAACAAAAAAATAACCAAGCGAAGCCGTAAGGGGGCAAAGTCAATGTGGATATGTTCAAAACGTCCAAAAGGAATATCAAATTTATTGAGTGGAGATTTTGTATGTTTATGAATTTTTGATTGTTGACATTTAATGCAACATTTTGTCCACGTATCTTTGTTCAGTTTTGGCCAATAAAATCGAGTGTTAATTAAATTTTGTGTTGTTTTAATACCGGGATGTGAAAGATTATGAAAATTCTCGAAAATTGCTAAACGATATTCAACAGGTATATAAATACGTGGTGTTGATGAAGAAATTTCACACCATAGCTTTTGTTTTGATAGTGATATCTCTTTTTGTTCTAAAATGAACTTTGTAGGACAATGTAGTTGTTTATTTAAAAGAAAAGATAATTGTGAATCTTTTTCTTGCGCAGTTTTAACTTCTAAAATATTAGGATATGAAATTTCAAGTGAGTCAATATCTATGCGCGACAAGGTATCTGCCACTATATTGGAGTCTCCTTTGATAAATTTGATATCCGAAGAAAATTGAGCAAAGAAGCCTAAGTAACGACTTTGACGTGGAGTTTTTTCTGATTTTCAATATTGGTTTATGTCTGTATACATAGATAATAAATTGATTGCCTTCTAAAAAATGTCTGAAAAATTTAATGGATGAATAAATTGCCAGCAATTCTCGATCAAAAGTCGAGTATTTTGCTTGACAAGGCCATATTTTTTTGAAAAATAAGCGATGGGTTGTGAAAAATTACCATTTTTTTGCGATAATACTGCTCCAATAGTCGTATTGGAAGCGTCCTAGCTAAAGATAATTGACCAATTTTACAGGGATGAGCCAAAGTTGTTGAATTTACTAATTGAGTTTTAGAGAGTTCAAAACTTTGATTACACTCTGCTGACCAATTTTCAATAACTTTGCTGTTATATTTATAAAGTAAATTCGAAAGATGATATAAAGGTGCAAGTATATTTGAAAAATTTGGAACAAATCTATGATAAAAGTTTATCATACCCAAAAATCTTTGTAACTGTTTCTTCTTTGTAAGTGTTTTTGGTGTTGGAAATTCATTAATAATTTTAATTCAGCCATCTGGAGGACGAATGCCTAGAGGAGAAATGTGATGACTCAAAAAATTTATGAATTGCATACCAAAAATGCATGTAGAAGGTTTAACTGAAATTCCAAAATCATTTAACTTATTAAAAAANTGCAGAATGTTTCGATAAATTATATTAATGCAGTTATTTAAAATGAACGCTGGCTTTAAACGATTAATGTTAACAATGTATTCTTGTTTTAGATGATTGTTTCTAAAAATAACAAAATTTTTTGAAAATTTTTTGACAACTTTAAAAGGTCATTCATATCTTGCTGATAATGAAGGTTTTATGCCCTCAAGTCGAAGGAAAGCAAAGTCTGAATCACGCAGCTGTTTTGTACAAAAGGTTGTTCAGTGGAATGTAAAGAGGTTGACGTTGGCTTCAAATTGGAAAATGTTTATTGTAGGCTGATCAAGGATTAACATCTGTTGAGTTGTGAGAATTTACGAAAAATTCACCTGGTAAACGTAACGGTTGATGGTCAATGACTGTAAGAACAAAAGAATAACCAAGCGAAGGCATTGACCTTGTAGGGGGCCTACAAGGTCAATGTGGATATGTTCAAAACGTCCAGAAGGAATATCAAATTTATTGAGTGGAGATTTTGTATGTTTATGAATTTTTGATTGTTCAATTGACGGCTGGTGAACAGCGTAACATCGCTAAAAGTCCAGAGACGCGAAACGGCTGGCGAAGGTGCTCATATCCGGGTTGTGGCGGGCGGATCCATTTTTCACAATCTCCTCGCCGAGTATAACCCGAAACACGGAGTAGAATACCATATCCACACGACCCCAGGACAACCCGTCGCGAGCTGATTTCGACGCCTAAACCCCCAAAGGTACGAGGCTGCCAAAAGGGAGTTCGTCACCAGCGAATTCAACCGGGCAGCGTTCAATTCCCTACATCAACTATCACACCCCGGAATTAACGCCACGGTTAAGCTCGTAACTCAACGTTACGTGCGGCCGTTGATTAAGGCGGATTGTAGGAGGTGGGCCCGGCACTGTTTTGATTGTCAGCGAGCCGAAATACGTCAGCCCCCACCGCAAACTTTACATTACCCAGTGACAGGTTCAAGCACATCCACATTGACCTGGTGGGTCCACTACCTTTGTCAAGAGGATACAGGTACGCTTTAACGTGTGTGGACCGTTTCTCGCGCTAGCCCGAAGTGATCCCCGTCGAGAATATAGAGGCATCCGCCATAGCAAAAATTTTCGTGACCGGATGGGTATCCCGATTCGGAACGCCGTTGCGAATAACAACGGATTAAGGCAGGCAATTCCAATCATAGCTTTTCATGGAGCTTGACGCCACGCTAGGAACCAAGCATTTTCGGACGACCGCTTACCACCACGCTGCCAACGGTCTCGTGGAAAGATTCCACTGTCAACTAAAAGGCGCTATCCGATGCCAAGCCACTGAAAAATGGGTCGATATCTTACCCGCGGTCCTGCTGGGCAACAGGTCAGCCTGGCGAGACGATTTCTCGGCAACGACAGCGGAACTAGTGTACAACGAACCTCTCAGACTCCAGGGCGAATTCTTGGCACCTAGAGAATCGAGCGGGAACAAGGAAGGTGCGACGAACTTCAGCCAAGAATTGAAAAAGCACTTTCAACAGCTTCAACCGATCCACGGAACCAGACACGGAAGTAAAAAGAACTTCGTTTTCAGAGACCTAGCCAACTATACACATGTTTGGATTCGCTTGGGTGGAGAACACCACCCGTCAACGCGAGAAGAAAGGGAAACAAATTACCGTTTCAATCGTCCGCTTGAAACCGGTGTACATCCTGTCCGTAGAGGAACAACGCCAGGAGGATCCACAACGCCCAGAGGCTACTCGGAATGATCCAGGACCCCAGCAGACAGACCCTACACCGCCAACAACGCGATATGGGAGTCGCGTAGGATTCCCTGACCATTTCCAGGCAGGGCTCTACTATCGTGTTTTTCAACCCACGGTCAAACACTGGCAGGGGGTCTCTGTGGCAAACATCTGGACGCCAGAGAACTTTCCAAACCTTTACTAAATCACTTAAAAATAAACTTAAAACAACTTACGCTAAAATTTTCATTCTTCTCTCTTGCGGTTGTTGCTTCGTTTCATTTTCTTTTCGGTATTGGCTCTGGTACAAGTTGATACTTTCTCCGGGATGTTGTGTACTTCTTTGGGTACATTTCAGGATGTACGGGTACAAGCAGAACGGCTTCTCCCTTGTGGTTGAGTCGTGCCAATTTAAGGTCTAGAGCCTTGGGTTAGCTTGCCTTGCAGATCACTTTCACTTGTGTAGGTTCGCGTCACTAAGAAGTAAAATTCACCAGTCCCAATTTTCTTCGATTAGTTTCGAGCACTGTTGAGACGAAATAATACTACTGACTGCGCCAGTTAAGGTTCTTTCAATAAAACCAAAGGTTTTAAAAAGAAACTTTAAACTAATTTATTAATTTTTTATTCAAACGACAGTGACAATGTGACGAATAAANTACTGACTGCGCCAGTTAAGGTTCTTTCAATAAAACCAAAGGTTTTAAAAAGAAACTTTAAACTAATTTATTAATTTTTTATTCAAACGACAGTGACAATGTGACGAATAAAAAGTAACTTAACTTCAAACGGCGTCGAGGTGTTTTTATAATAAATGCTTATCGCTAACCCCTTCTCTAATGAGATGTTTGGTGGTGCGACATACTTCCTTTATTTCCAGGAATTTAGAATAGATGATGCTCCATAACTCGCGTTTTACGTAGCCGTCGTCGTTTTTAAGTTTTTAATGATTTATTGAAATCCCGTTTTATTGCGATTTTTTGAAAAATATTTTTCAATTATGTTGTTTTTATTTAATCCACTTCCGACTTCTTCTTCCATTTAAAAACATCGTTGATTGCAATTCTCATAATTCAATTTTTAATAGTCAACCAACGATTCCGTTCAATACTTTGCGTCCTGTTTGATTTGATTACTTCAGTAGTTGTGGTTAAAATGTCGAAAACGCTCGGTTTTTACATTGTAAAAACGTATTCCCGAAAATATCAGTTTTGGCCCTCCGCGCAAGGACTTCGCGGTCTTGCACCAACAATTTTGATTGTTATAAACGTATTGGGTAATTTACCCGTTTATAATAGAAATTGCAAGTGAGTGTTGCATAAAATTACTCGAGATATTTCTTATAATTGTTCTCTTTATGATTTTAGATTATAAGACGAATTTTGAAAAACTGTTATTTCACGTGGAGTTAACTTCGATGGTAATACTATTCCTATATCTCAATATTCAATTATTGTGGAGTCGACGTCATTTAATCCAAACTTGATGAATGAAACTTGATTTATTGAGCGATTTCAGCCAATTTGGTGTTCCGCAAATTAATAATGTTATTTCAAATGTATACAATCAGTACTATTATTCATGTTATCCTCGGCATACGAATATTGTGTACTTATTCAGTGGAATTATTGGTTGCACGTTTACAACATCTTATCGAAATAATAGATGGTATAAAATTAACAAGAAATAAGAAAAGAAATTTAAGAAAATTAAAACTTGTTGTTATGTATCACCATGAAATATTTAGGTATTCTTATCTGAAAATTTATTTTAATATATCGACGAAGAGATGTTAATGATTTCAGAATGTACCAATTCGCAAATACTCTTTGCACCCCTTTTCTAATTATTCTTTTCTATATAATTTTATAAAAAGATTTTCTTGTTTTGAATAGGCTGGTAGTGTGGCGGAGACTGTGTATAATTTAAATTGGTACGAAGCGGATATATCAACACGAAAAGATGTTTTAATTTTACTATGTATGTCTCAGAAGGAGTTTAAAGTGGAGTTTCCTGTGGTTCGCGAATTCTCGCACGCAGCGGCTGCAAATGTAAACATTTTTGTTTTGATATATGTATTTGGTGATAATAAATATTTACTTAATTGGATAAAAATGAAAGATATCTAATTTTAATCAAACTCAAAAAAATGAAATACTTATCGCTGGACCTACATTTGATGAAGCTTATTCCTATCTTAGAAAGCTTGAAACCTATGTATTATCAAGAAAGAATGTTCCAAATAATATTCATAATTCTTTATATTTAATAGAAGATTTTTTCGACAAAGAGCGGTTGTCCACTTTAATCCAAAAGAAAATGACGGATTACTTTATAAAACTTGATTAATTTTCTACTTCCAATACTATTAAGGTTTCTGTTTTAAATATACGTATTAGAAAAGTACATTTCTAATGTTTTTCTTTAGAGCTATAATTCTACTAATTTTTCTCTAACTCGAATTCTCCATAACTCAAAGTTTTCTTCCGCTCCCTTAGTGATTCGAGTTAGGGGTTCACTGTATGTAAATATGTAAGTATGTAAATATGTTTTTAGAAAAATTTAAATTTCAAATCAAATTACACTAGGCTTTAAATCGTAAACATCGCGTGGTACCTAATTAAGATAATATAAAACTTGTTAAGAAGATTAAATTACGTACGTAAAAACTATCTATATAATAACTACATACTGCTGACCTTAACATTCATAAAAAATGGATCNAAACGCTGAAGGATAGATTGACCCAAAAACCGATACTAGCACTCTATGATTGTAGTGCAGAATTGGAAGTACATACAGATGCTTGTAAGGACGGTTTTGCAGGCATGCTTCTGCAGAAAAATGATAAAGGAACATTTCAACGATTGGCTTATTATAGCCGAAAGACGACCGAATTGGAGGCCAAGTACCATAGCTATGAACTTGAAGCAATGGCAGTAGTGGAAGCCATAGATAGATTCAGAATATACGTATTGGGACGACACTTTACAGTAGTTACTGATTGCAATTCTCTGAAAACAATCATGACAAAGAAAGATATGACGCTGAGGATTGGGCGATGGCTCTTGAAGTTACAAGAATACGACTTTTCTGTTATACATCGATCGGGAGAAAGGATGTCACATGTTGACGCTTTGAGTAGACACCCAAATGAGCCTGGAAAAGAACCAGAAGAAGCTGATCTGAAGATCAACACCTTAAGAATCGATGAAGCTGACTGGTTGCTGACGATGCAGCTCCAGGATGAAAATCTAAAGCGAATATACAAAGTTTTAGTAGAGAACCGTACAGAGACACTAGAAGACAAGCAAATTAATACCGACTATGAGATCGAGGAAAATAGAATTTGTCGAAAAACTGATGACGGACCGAAATGGGTTGTTCCTAAGGGAGTGATTTGTCGTGTTATAGAAGAGAGTCACGATAAAATGGGACATTATGGAGTCGAGAGAACGTTGAAGAACCTACAACGACAGTATTGGTTTGCAAAGATGAGGAAAAAGGTGAAGAATTACATATCCTCTTGCGTAAGATGCGCGTACCACAAAGCCGTGAAAGGAAGACTCGAAGGAGAACTACACATAATAGAGAGAGTACCAATTCCATTTCATACGGTGAACATGGATCACTTAGGACCATTTGTCAATAGTGCAAGGAGGCATGATTATGTTCTGTTGTACCAGGACAACTTCACGAAGTACACGATATTGCGAGCGGTAAAATCGACAAAAACAAAACCTGTCGTGAATACTTTGAAAGATGTCTTTAGTTATTTTGGAACACCACATCGTTTAATAACCGATAGAGCGACATCATTTACGTCGAAGGAATTTGAGAAATTCTGTGAAGAAAACCAAATTAAACATATTCGTAATGCTACAGCAACGCCAAGAGCAAATGGGCAGGTGGAAAGACAAAACCAAACCCTTTTGACTGCATTAACAACCATGTATGAAGACGAAGACGGAAGAGATTGGGACAGGCGAATCCAAGAAATTCAGTTTGCATTAAATGACGCTGAAAACAAGACAACAGGAAAGACGCCCCACCAACTGCTTTTTGGATATCATCCGAGAAATGCCTTACAAAACCAGATAGCATTAGCTGTGAGTAAACTTGACTATCCCAAAGACATTGACAACTTACGAATAGACGCAGTACGACGAATTGGTGAACAACAACAAAAGGATAAGAAGTATTTTGATCAGAAGCACAAACAACCTCAAACATATAATGTTGACGACATTGTGTTAGTGAAACGCGAGTTAGCGGAAACGGGACATTCGCGAAAACTATTGCCCAAATACAAAGGACCTTATATAGTGACGCGAGTGGTCGGAAACGACAGATACGTGATAAATGACATTCCGGGAGCACAACGATGTGCTAAACCATTTAACGCTGTTTTCTGTTCAGGGTTAATAAAGCCGTGGTGTACCCTTACCGAAGAAGATACGGATGATAGTGACCGGGAAGATGAGGGCCCTGAGGCGGAAGGCACTCCGCCAGGTCAGGAAGGCCGAGTTGTTGGCGAACGACAATAGGTGGCGTGTAGAGACGAGATGTACGAACTAAAACAAGTCGGTGTGCATCATCGGAAGAAGAAGGAAGTGTCGTGTGGACCAAATAATGTATAGCGTTTAGTTTAATCAGTTACATACTCTTTTTTTGTGTTCTAAGTAAAGTTAATATATTTGTTACAAGAAAGCTGACTTTAATTCAACGAATAACAATATCTTGGCAACAAAATTTTTTTATTATATAAAATTATTCATTCCTTTCTGATTCCTTTCAATAAACTCATTGAAACCGGACGTTAATTAAAATTTTATTAATTATATTGGGAAAATAAAAAGCTATTAACAATCCCACATAAATTGGTGACCCCGACTAGAATTTGATCAGTTGGAGCAGTCTACGCAAGCACAATCTACGAATCAACGAAGCAGTCTACAAAAATATAATAATAATTAAGAAATTTAAAAAAAAAGAACAAAAAAATTATTTTGACACGGACGTTT